GAGAGAGAGAATGACTGACTTTAGGAAATTAGTCAATAAATAGATTTGGTGCTGTTTAATCGACAGTGTCACCCACACAAATGTTTTTATTTTAATCTGCACTGCATTTTTTAAACATGTTTCTTGTTAGTATTATTTTTATGTTTTGATTTTGCACGTCGTATTTTTTTCTTAAAACAAATTGGGAGATAAAAACGTCTCTAAATGAAAATATAACTTAACTTCTATGAAGTAAACAGTTGAGGGTGCTGTTGGCTGTAATATTTCTGCTGGAGTGTTGACGATCTCTGGAATAAAGATTGAGTGCTTGAGAACATTATTCAAGATTGAAATATACGGTATATTTATTTTTGTTCATTATATATATATATATATATATATATATATATATATATATATATATATATATATATATATATATATATATATATATATATATATATATATATATATATATATATATATATTATGAACAAAAATAAATTCACTTGGCATTCCTCCTACTTTTTAAAAAATGACACAAAAGATCACAATCATTGCATATTCACAATCTTTCCACCCTTATTAGCAATAAAAATAATACAATATTGAGTAAATAAAAATAACAAAATAAAATAAATGATAAAGAAAGTTAAGTACTAATAGAGTTCTCAAAATATAAAAACAAAATCATCTGACAAATATAACTTGCTTTTTAAATTATTTTTTTTCTTAATCACAAATTCTTCTCTAAACACCACTAGCCTTGGGGGAATTTTTAAAAATGTACATTTATGAATATATATTTTTTATAATATTAACAAATTATTCTTTATATAAGATATATGTTTTTATCCTTAAGTATTAACCCAAACTCAATAATTTTCCATGAGAAGATAAGTTTTACAGATATTTTCTGTTTTATCCAAGATAATACTTTGTCCCATAAAGTTTGAACCAAATTACGTTGGAAAAACAAGTGTTGTTTCAATTTAAAATCGCTCATTTAAAATCCCTCATTGCAGTTTCGGGTAGCTAGATTATTTACACAGATTCCAAAAATGTAATATTTAGTCGTAAGTATTTACGAGTTCTTAAAATCTGGACTAAAATTCCTTTTAGATTTACCATGTTTGTTTATGCAATGCATGGATTTTTCTGTTCTTTTAAACAAATATTTGCTTCAAATTGAAGTTATTATTTCACTTATTTGGATGTTTATGGTTCCATAATGTTCACATGAATTTCAGATAAACTATTAAAATATAATGTTGTCTTAGATAATGTTTTTTTTAAACTTATTATACTAATACAAACAACAAATTTATTACAAAGCTAGCTAATGGAAATTAAGTTGTTCATTGTTAAATCATGTTAACTTACAGTGCATAAACTAATGTTAGCATGAATTTGGATTTTAATAGCACATTAGTGAAGGCTGAACTGATTAATAAACGCTGTACATTCATTATTAGTTTATGTCAGTAAATACATTAATTAACAATAACTAATAGAGCTTAAGTGTAAAGTGATTTATTTAGCTGAAAAATCAGAAACTAAGCCAAAGGAAAGTGAGTGTAAATTGTGACCAAAATGTTAGTGTTTTATTTTTCTAGTGTTATTATTGCTTTGATTGATTGGTTTGTTTTGATTAAAATAATATATTAAGATTTTAAATTGTTAAAAAAGCACTGAAGTATTTATCTTTTTATATGCTGGCATTTCCTTCCTTCCCTCTTTCCTTCCTTCCTTCCCTCCTTCCTTTCTTCCTTCCTTTAATAGATTAGGAAACCTACTTAATGTGATATTTAACACACTTCATATTGTTAATAGCCTAAAATTGTTTAAAAATTAAAATTAATTATCTTTGCATTTATGGAACAGTATAATGCAAAATAAAATCTATGTGCCGTCTTAGATCCAAAGCCATTAAAAGTATTCACATTACCTAAAATATTTAATATGTAAAATCAAAAACAAGTCCTTTGGTATTCTTAAAAGAAAAATTTTGAAATGGAAAAGTTTCCTTGCTGTGTGCATAAAATATAAAATGAATATTCAAAAAAAAAAAATGAAAGACAGAAAACCTTAACTAATGTGAATGTGGCTCCTGCTGGTCTGGGAACATTTGTTTGTGTCATGTGCAGGTTTGAATGTTTGAGCAGCCGTTACTCTGTCTAATGAAAGACATGAAAACCACCAGGCCCTCCGTCTCAGTGAAGTCAAAATTACAATTACATTAAACAAGCATGTATGAGACGTATAAAAATAGTTTTAATGTCTTGTAAGAAAACTAGGTTAAGACTTAAAAAAAAAAAAAAAACATTTTCATTTGATATTATTTTTTGGAAACATTTTTATAAAATTCCTTTTAGTAATAAAACCTTAAAGGGTATAGTTCACCCAAAAATTGATATTCTGTCATCATTTACTCACCCTTAACTTGTTTCAAACCCTAAAGACTTTCCTTCTTCTGTTAAATGCAAAATAATATTTTAAACAAAGCTGGAAACCTGTAATTATTGACTTCCATAGGAAAAGGTCTACCATTTTCAGCTTTTTAAAAATAACTTATTTTGTGTCCAACAGAAGAAATCAACTCATAAACGTTTTGAAACCACTTTAGGGTGAGTAAAAATTTTTTATATTTTCGTTTTTGGGTGAAATATACCTTGTTTGAACATTGCACATATCCCTTTGTAATGTTCTATAGCACTATTAGGTTGTGAATCAGCAAGAAAAGTCTGTCCAAGATAAGTTCTCGTATTCAAAAACTTTTTTAATGCACATTTCCCTGTTTTCATATTATCTTTGGCAGGTGATCAGTCACATGACAAATTTTTCTGCAGCAAAGATGGCAGCCTCCAGTTTGTATACTAACAGTGGATCATGCGTTAGCCTAGCATTTGTCATTGAACTGAATGGGAATGCTAACATCATTGCAGGTATTGTAGAGTTCTATAGTATACTGTATGTCATCTTAGCTTTAAAATACAATTTATATTTTCAGTTGTTCACAAATATAAAAATTTTTTGGCAATTCATACTTGTTTTTCACTCAGCAATGTCATGTAAACTTGGTTTAATAATGTGCCGACTTTGTGTAGTTTTAAGTGGTTTGTAAGTTTAAGCTTATTCCTGGTTGTTGTTGAGAATTTATTGAATAATCGTTTCAGGGCTGCTCAATATAATGTTTCAGCATCAACATTCATAGTTAAGACTTTTATTAAAGTTATTAAATTCCTGTACCTAAATCAGACTTCCTAAAAACCATAAAGCACAGTATGTTTGCCTTATTGTTTTTAGATCTGCATGTAATTTGTTTATTATATTTCATACAGATGCACTGCCATATAAAATGATCCTAATTAATATAAAATTGTGAATTCCTTACAAACAGAACTAATCTGGTAAAATACTCAAATGCAGTTTCTCAAATGCAAATGTGTTGTTTTAGTTAAAATATTTTGTAAAAACAAAAAAACAAAAACAAAAAAACTTGCTGACTCAAAAGTATTGTTAACCCATAACCTATATACATTTTGTTTATTAGGATCGTTAATTGTATTTTTGGAGCTATTCACAATGTCTTGATCTTTTTTGGAGCACACAAAATCAATCCACCTATAAGCTTTTTAGCTAATCGGATTAGCAAGAGGCTTACAGTGCCCAAGCAATGGATATCTAGCCAGCTAATTAGCTATCAAGGCATTAGCTGATTGCGCACAAGTCAAATAAACAAAGCCCAATGACTATTCCAGATTTATTGCTGTTTCATTGTCTTGGGAAAATGATCAGTCTCGAAACACATAATCCTGGACTTAATTCTTGCTCATAAAATTAAATGTTTGATAAACTGGAATTGGTGTGGATTTGAAGTAAGAGGTTCTTCTTGGAGTGGAACCAGATGGCCCTTCGCAGCTCTTCAAATGGCTAACATTAAAAGCCATGTCAAGCTTTGGTATATCTTGTTAGTGGAAGTTAATAGCGCAGAGAAACTAAAACATCTGTAGTTCATTTTGAATGTTGCCTATCAAATGTCTCTATCTTTTCTTTTTCAAATATTTTACAAATTATGTTTAACAGAGTAAGACATTTTTCACAGTATTTCCTACAATGTTTTTTTCTTCTGGAAAAGTCTTATTTGTTTTATTTCGGCTAGAATAAAAGCAGTTTTAAACATTTTTCAAAAACCATGTTAAGGTCAATATTATTAGCCCTCTTAAGCAATATATATATATATATATATATATATATATATATATATATATATATATATATATATATATATATATATATATATATATATATATATATATATTTTTTTTTTTTTTTTTTTTTTGACTGTCTACAGAACAAACTATTGCTACAATTATTTGCCTATTTACCCTGACTTCCCCAATTAACCTCATTAACCTCGTTTAAATGGCACTTTAAGCTGAATACTAGTATCTTGAAAATATCTAGTAAAATATTATGTGCTGTTATCATGGCAAAGATAAATCAGTTATTAGAAATGTGTTATTAAAACTATTATGTTTAGAAATGTGTTAAAAAAATCTTCTTTCCGTTCAACAGAAATTGAGGAAAAAATATACAGGGGCTAATAATTCAGTAGGGCTAATAGTTCTGACTTCAATTGTATATTAAAAAAGATCACTGGTATAAAATTAACTGTAATGTTATGGTAAATTATCTAAGGTGCCATCTAAAAAATAAGACATTCACTGTTTTGATTCAAGCTTGTTCAGTTTAGAAAATGTGTGCACAAGAAACATGATGCCTGAAAACCTGATGCTGAATAACAAGCAGCTAAAATCTAAATTAGGAGGTAATATTTTGTTTCTTTTCGTGTGTGCATGTGTACTGGTATTACTTTACTCCATATTTACCCCATATTTCTCTTGGACAGCATGAGTTTGTTTGTTTGACCCCTGCCCACCCAGAACTACTTTATAGTTAAAGATAAAGTGATCAAAAAAATCTTCAAATAGAAAACCACAATATTTCAGATCTCTGTGTTTGCTTTACTCATTTTTTTTCTGTTGGCAGGCATGGATTTATTTCATTATTGCTTTGGTTTTGTAGAGAGGTTCACATTTTCTCATTCCTCTTTCATTTGGAGATATCCGTTTTACACTGCTACAACACAGGATTGTGCATTATAAAGACTCAATACACAACCAAACATTTAAAAAGCTGCCTATGTTGCCCTGTAACTGTCTTTAAGTCAGACTGTAGGATGAAACAGGGTTCATTGACAGAAAGCAAATACCCTGTAAATGACATTATAATGAAGAGAAGAAATATGGCCAGAAACCAACATGGCTCTGTAAATTGTATAGTTTAAACAAAGTGGAAGGAGACTTTTAAATTATAAAGCTTCACCACAGGTTTCATTGAATGCAATTTATAATTGTCTTGAAGTTGTTGTTGATCTTTAGAACCGTCTCCTGTAATTTCACTCTTTTTTTTTTCTCAGCCATCAAGCGCATCCTGGAGCCTAAATATAGAGGAAGTAGAATCAGTGACTGTATTTAATGCCCTGTGAAATACAAGAATTAAACTTTTGCTCTTTACTTGAAATCTTCCCCATCTAGAAGTTTCTTGTAGGTGTTAATTTCCGCTTCCAGTTTCATCTTCATATTAAGGAGTGCTTCATATTCCTGTCCCTGTTCTGTGATATTTGCCCTCAGCTGTGCCAGCTCAGCTTCAAGTTGAATTATGATGTTATTTAACTTCTCCATCTCTCCATTTGAACGTATCTCAGTGTTTCGTAGAGTATCTTCAAGTGACGCTTTCTAGAAAAAAAGAAAAGATTTCAGATCGATTCAACAAACTTGATGATGATCTAAAACTATGGTGTGTTAGAGCACTTTACCAGGTTTTGTTGTGATGCAAGCTCTATTTCTAGTGTTTGAATCTGTCGGCGTAGGTCATTACACTCCATCTGAGCACCTTGTAATGCCTCTGTGTTCTGAGCCACCTGCACCTGAACATCTGCTATCTGAGGAGAGAGAGACTCATTTTCAGCTCATTTAAAACAAGTCATAGAAATCGTACTGTCACAGTCAGGGGTTTCATACCTGGGTTTCGTGCCACATTTTGAGTTCCTCTGCATTTTTGAGAGCCTGTTTCTCATAGTTAGCTCTCATGTCTTCCATCACTTGAGACATATCCTGGCCCTTGGGTGCATCAACATCCACCTGAACGCCTGACTGAGATATCTGGCTCCGTAGCTCATCAACTTCCTGTCAAAGTTAAATAGATTTGTATTATTTTAAAAAAATTTTCTTTATTGTTTCATTATACTACTATTATTATATTATAAGTATATTATTGTTTATTGTATATTATTATTATTATTATTATTGTATATTACAATTATTGCATATTAATGTTCCTATGTTTCTCTATGTTCCTACACGTATTATGTTGTCATTTTGTATTTGATTTGTCACCTTAAATTGTAAGAAATCTGAGATGAAGTTCAAAAGAAGTACTGTAAATTATACAGCAAAAATCAGTCCAAGGCACTGGAAAATTGTGGAAAGAATTTATATATATATATATATAAAAAAATAAAAACTTTACTGACAAACCATGTCAGTAAAGACTTTTTCATATATTTTTTCCCACACTTTTCCAGTGACTTGGCCTGATTTTTGCTGCTAATTCTGATGAATCCCAAAATAATTAAGCTACCCCTGAGGTCTTTTTATTTGATTTAGGATTTTTACTGTAAATTATACTTTTAAATAGATTTGTATGTTAGTATTTTTTTTCTACAAGCTGTAAAAACACATTGTGGACAGTTTAAAGGCCCCATGAATTTTAAATGGCTAATAGTCGGTCGTTTAGTTATCCATTCACAAATAGCACAGTTCATCTGCACTTGTTTTTTCGACTTATAATAGCATAGTTTCCATTACAGATTTTGTTGTATTTTCTAAATGTTGATCAAAACTATTGTGCAGAGACAAAGATAAAACTATCAATTGTATGTGATTTGAACAAATTTTTCCTCTTGTGATAAGTCGTTCCAAAAATCATGACAGTTTTTGGCATGTTTACATATCACACTAGCCATGTCTTTGTATTTTGGAAGACCTCAGTGGTTTAGGGAGCCATTTAGTAATGGAGCCACCTATAAGCTACTGTAGCATGCTATAATATTTGTTTTTCTTCTGATGACTCATTTTGCACTACACAGATTTTTATCCAATCAAATGCTCTCTAGAATTAGCTCCTCTTTCAAATATCGCTACAGAAATCTGTTATGTGATAAAGGAAAAAGGAATCATTTTCCCTTTTAAAAAGTGTAATGCAACTCTTAAAATTATCTCGCCCAAAAATCTGAATACCTCAAAACAGGGTAAAAATCTATTCTCTTTACATAAATCCAGGGGTCTTTAAGCTTATTCAAAGAAGAATTAATCTAATTCTCTGCGACTAGTGTTAACATGGCTCTTATGCAATGTTTGATTACATTTTCATGGTTTTTCTTGAGGAAGACAAGCTCTTCTTTCAAGGACTCGATTTCTCCCTCCACATTCAGGCGACCAATATTGGTTTCATCTATAACTTTCTTTAGACCTGCGATGTCTCCTTCCACAGACTGCCTGATTGCCATCTCATTCTCAAACCTATAACACACGCACACGCACACACACAGACACACACACACACACACACACACACACACACACACACACACACACACACACACACACACACACACACACAACAGACATTCAAGGAATGCACATAAGTGTTTAGTGAGCATACCAGTAGTCCAACCATACATTTGTCATGCTAAGATTTCTGGATTTTGTGACTCTAAAAAGTACCACTTTCTCATAATCATGTTTCTTTGATACCAAGTTAAATCTTTGGATATTTGTGGTGTTGTGCAGTTATGGAGACTGACTTGACTCTGAAGTCATCCACAGCCAGACGAGCGTTGTCAATCTGCAGAACAAGACGAGCATTGTCCACAGTGGCATCAAACACCTACAGGCAAAACAAAGAACATATTTCACCATACAAAACCTGTTTTTGACATGTTTTCATTTAGTCCTAGCAGAGATAGATATGATTTGTCAGATCTTCATTTTCAGCATCCTTGGAATTTAGTTATTTAATAAAGTTAGCTATGGAATTAGACTTTGTTTTAAGTCTCTTTATGAAACCGGAGCATGAAAGGATTTGATTGCGCAAGCCTGTAAAATATGAGACGAAAGATAGAGTCGCTTTGCAGTCAGACTTTGCTTTGACAGGTTTATTTTTGCTTTGCAGAACAGGTGAAATTGACAGAATGATTAAACAATGCTTCTACAAAGTTCCTCCATATGCCACATCCTCCCCTGGTGAAAGCGGAAGCTGGTATCATGTGCTGCTTCTTATCAGACCATTTGAAATGTCATAATATTTAACTTAAAATATGCTCTTTATTTTTCTACATAATTCTTAGTTTACCTTTTTCTATTTTACCACTTGAAATATAGGAAAGATCAGACATTTCTAAACTTTAAAAGTTTTGTAATGACTCAACCGCGACTGCTATAAATGATGGTTCTTTTGAGTTCTTGCTGTAGAACCGTGTGACCATGTGTGTGATTACTTATCCCACATCTGTTTTGCATTATGACTCTAGTCTGAGTCTGTGTAGGACGTTTCAGCTGGCTACAGTTCGTCAAACATTCCTCTGATGCTTCAGAAACGATTGTGAATGTTTTATTTGTATTAGCCGTTGTCATGGTTGCTTATATTCTAAAACCCAATATGGAGGGTTTAGAGGAATTTCCTCAGTAGTAGCCAGAATGCACACAGAGAAAAGCAGAACAAGCACAATAGAAAGAGAGAAGACAGAAAGAGAACAGGGCGTGTGCCACACCCTCCATTGAGATCTGCAGAAATCTGATCCACTTTTATTACACTATAAAGGGTTCTCAAGAACAGTACAAAAAGTGTGTAGTACTTTATTTTTTTATCATTTGACTGTCTTATTTTGCACGTACATACTTATCATTGTCATTACATAAAGTTAGTAATAACTAGCTTTCCCTAAACCTACCCCTGAACCGTTTACTCATGTATTTGTCTCATATGACCAGTATTTTTCTAGGTAAGTACACTCTACACGTATACTCAGAGTAAAATAAAGTACAACCCTACAAAATGGCTGAGCAGTTCTTGACCAAAAAAAGATTTTATTATTTTATATTATATTATATTAGAATCTTTTTAATAAATACATTTTTCTAGTAATTTATCCAAACTGTAATTATAAACGCACTATTGTTTAGATAAACGCAAAACTCCACATTTTCTTCTTGTGCAAACCTTACTGTTTTCATTTGTAAATCTTGCTTCTTTATTTCAGCCTAATCTCTGTGATTCAAAACATGTGGTATCTCCTCCTCCCAACCTAAATAACTGTCTGCCTCTCTCAAACTCTGAAATGTTTCCTTTAGCAACATGGCCCCCGTCAGACACAGAGAAACAAATGTAAATCAAGCTGTCAACATCCCTCACCTTCCTCCTCAGGTCATCCAGGATGGCGTTGTACTTGCTGTAGTCGCGTGTTTCTGGTCCACCTTTCTCCAGAGCCTCTCGGATCTGCTGTTCCAGTTTGCCGTTCTCCTGCTCCAACCTGCGCACTGTGTCCAGGTAAGCAGCCAGACGGTCGTTTAAATTCTGCATCTGGCCTTTCTCATTGCCCAGCATGCCACCTGAGGACCCAGAGCTCGCCAAGAAGGAACCCCCTGCGCCAGAGCCCATGCCGGCTGAGCTCACCTTGAAGGCTGTGGAAGAGGAAATTCCCCCACTTCTAGGGGCTGAACGGTAAGACATCGCAGAGGCGGATGAGATTCTGGTGCCTTGCCCACCTGCCCCACCATACGTACTGGCAGCCCGGTAAGCGGGCGCAGAGCGGGTGAAGGAGATGTGAGAGGCCTGGGGTGCGTAGAAGCTCATGGTTTTGGAGGAATGAAGCTCTGGCTGCAGTAGAAGATGAGTGTGCGCTGAGGGATGTCAACCCTTGAGAGCCACTAGAAGAGAACTGTACAGCTTTTATACCCCCACCAAACTCTTTCTGTTCCTCCTTTTCTCTTTTTGACTCAAACACACACACGCGCACTGACCAACTAAGACCCTGCCCACATGGTCCGGTTTTTTTCCTTTTGCATTACTTTTTTCAGTGTTCTCTAACGCCCGTCCCACATCCTCTCTCTCTTTCTCATTTCCTGCCTCGATCTCCCCCCTCTGACTCCCTCCATCTGAACCCAATCCCCAAGCTCATCTAGACACATACAAACTGCAACAAGATACAGCCTCATTTTGTGCTTTCAGTCCCACAATGCTTCAGTGAAAACTTAAATAGCATGTTTAGCTGAGAAGAACAGGGTTTGAGAAAGTAAACAGTGGTTTATGATTTCAATCAGGCACCTTTGGGACAGGTTACACCTAAATGTGCATTTTCCAAAAAGAGTGGACACATGTGGATTAAATGTAAACATGTTTACAAAACTCAGATTCTTAAGGGGGGACTTCACCCAAAACTCCCCTGAAGAAGCTTACGAAGAAGTTTGCAACAACATGATTGAAAAGCATCTCTTTAAAATATCTAAAAGCTCTGTGTTTATTCTTTGAGATGTTTCTGCAAACTGCAGCCCTACAAATAGGCTCGCTTGCTTTTTACCTTTTAAGGGCCTGCTCAAAATTGCATAACTGCCCAAATATGTTGTGTTTGAAAACATTGATAAGTTGTAGAAAAACAAGTTGATAAGATAGAAAAACAAGGTGATAAAAGCAAATGGTTTGAAGTTCAGTAACTGAGGAATAGCTTGACCATGTTCTTCCCAGATTTACATGGTATGATTTTGCTAGCATTTATTCGTTCATTTTTCTACAGCTTAGTCTCTTATTTAACGTTGTCACAGCGGAATGAACCGCCAACTGTTCTGGCGTATGTTTCACACAGCGGATGGTCTTCCAGTTGCCAACCTAGTATTGGGAAACACCCATACATGCTTGCATTCACACACATACACATACACTACAGCCAATTCAGTTTACCTAATTCACCTATAGCGCATGTCTTTGGACTGTGGGGGAAACCGGACCACCCGGAGGAAACCCACACCAACATGGAGAGGGCATGCAAACTTCACACTTAATTGCCAACTGGCACAGTCGGGACTCAAATCAGCGACGTTCTTGCTGTGAGGTAACAGTGCTAAACACTGAGCCACTGTGCGGTTGCTTTTGGTTACAATTTTGCTCAAATTTAGAAAAGATCCAGAAAGGGAACTGTAGTCTTGGGTGTGACAAGATGATACTGTCTGACATAAAATATTATTGATGTCACACACTGCTTCATGGCCTTTACCCAAGATCTCACTGGGATCATGTCCAACGTCTGACAGGGAACAATTATAAATGACGTAAAAAAAAAAAATTGTGAACCCAGCTTTAATGTCACAGGATTTGAAATCTGAGAATGGTAAAAAAAAAACAATTACGCATAATTGTTGTGATGAAGATGATGCTTTGAAATACCTGTGATCTAGAGAACAGGACATCCAGAGGCCAAACACACCCAGGAGCTAAAAGAAACCTGAGGAGTTGGCACAAAGCGTTTTTGAAAGTTGATCTTTCTTTCTTTGTTTCTTTCTTTCTTTCTTTCTTTCTTTCTTTCTTTCTTTCTTTCTTTCTTCAAACTATTATCTATTTTTCTTTATGCCATTGTTCAAGGCATGATATGTTTTCAATATACTAGGCATAGATTTTTATTTATGTATGCCTAGTTATATGTGTATGGCTTGCCAGTATTGAAGGATTTGAAATGGACGACGCGCCTGAATAGTAGTTGTGTGTGTGGTCTGCTCCCAAAAAACTTTGCAGTTTTGTCTTTTTAACCTATGTTATCTGACAGTGTTTGTTTATCTACTGTTCTGTGACTTCATTGGCTTTTGAAATGTCATAACTTGGTAGAGGCAGACAGATCAATAGAGAAAGAGTAGTCTCTTTCTCCAAGTGCTAACATTACGTTAGCTAAGATTAGTGCATTACATGAGCCTTAGAGCCTTGTTCGCAGAAGACTTCAAAACATCTTTCGAAAGTTTGAAATGCATGACACAGGCAGAGCAAAGGGCTGCCCGATGTGAAGATGGAGGATTGATGCTTTTGCAAATTGCATTAAGTCGTTGATTATCCCACTTTTTCCTTCATCATTTGTCAAGTTATTGACATTTAAATTTGTTTTGCTCTTTGGAGTGCAAAATTTGACCAAATTTTCAGTCAGTCATATTATTTATGACAGATGTCGAATGAGTGACAGGCAGACAGAGAGGTAGCAGACAGAAAGAATGTGTTTGTGCATGGAAATGACACGGGCATATCCAATAGCTCTTTGTAACGTTTGTATGTGACTTCTTGGCAATTTTTTAAAGCATATTTGCCATTTGTTTAACCCCATCGGTTCCCTGGTAAAGCACAGGTCACTGTCCTTGAAATTACACAGACAAATGATATCTCTGGCAACACTTATTATGGTTACTACAGTATGTTTGAAGGAAGCACATTTATTTGGAACTGTGATGGAAAAATGACTGGAACTGCCTGTGCATTAAACATTTTTATTGCACACTTTCCAGCCAATGACAATCTATTCAATCATTCATATCTGCTTTTCCGGGGATGGTTCATGGGGACAGCAGTCTCAGGAGAGAACCCCAGGCTTCCCTCTCCCCAGACACTTCCTCCAGATTCTCCGGGGGGATCCCAGGGCATTCCCAGGCCAGCCGAGAGATATAATCCCTCCAGGGTGTCCTGGGTCTTCCCCAAGGTATCCTCCTGGTGGGAAATGGCTGGAACACCTCCCTTGGTAGGCGTCCAGGAGGCATCCGAAATAGATGCCCAAGCCACCTCAGCTGACGTTTCTCGATGTGGACAAGCAGCGGCTCTACTCTGAGTTTCTCTCGGGTGACAGAGCTCCTCACCCTATCTATAAGGGTATGCCCTACCACCCTGCGAAGTAAACTCATTTCGGCTGCTTGTATAAGGGATCATGTCCGTTTAGTCACGACCCAAAGCTCATGACCGTAGGTGAGAGTAGAAACGTACATTGACCAGTAAATAGAGAGCTTTGCCTTTTGGTTCAGCTCCTTCTTTACCACAACTGACCAGTACATCAACCATACATACATACTGCTGCCGCTGCACCAATCCTTCTGTCGATCTCATGTTCCATCCTTCCCTCAGTCGTGAACAAAACACCAAGATACTTGAAATCCTTCACCTGGGGCAAGGAATTTCTTCCAACCTGGAGATGGCAAACCACCTTTTACCGGTGGAGCACCATGGCCTTGGACTTGGATGTGCCAAATTAGAAACAAAAAAATCTATTTTTCCCCCAATGCTAAAGACAAGAATACTTACAACATTGGTTAAAATGCCTGTGACATAAGAGGAAGCATGTTGCTTATTTAGCTACTGAATTAGTTTCTCATAGAGTGTTTCTCTGACTTGGATCAGAATATGTTAGCTGGGTCTTTTTTAAGTGGTGATAGTACTTTCTCTGCGTCAAAAGGTGCAATCTGCAGTGTCTTTGTTTGGATGGGGTGTCCATAGATTCCAGAAAGCTTTGGTTACAACATGAGTCACCCGTCCCATGATTTCCGGGAGCTCTGAACACAAATCACAAACTGCCCTGCAGGAGAAACAGCATGGTTTGATCAACCCACTCTGCTCTCTCTTCCCTGCATGCTATACATTTTACTATGGATGCACTGATAGTTGTTTTCAAAGAGTGTTTGTTTCAGTCATACACATGGCAACCTTACTTGCGTGTTTAATTATACCAGTTTGTTTCCAAGCAACACTTTCATTTCCTTTTTATGCGCTTAGTCAATATAGTCACACTCAACCACATCACTGAAATCAGGAGGACAGAAAGCTGATCACAAGAAGTCCTGTTTACAGCTTCTTCTCACTTCATTATTGAATTATTTCCAGCCAGTAGCTTAGTGAATGTCACATGCCTCGATAAAGATCTGCTTTGTTTCTATAAGGCCTGTAGAGCACAGACAGGCTATTACATTAACGGTTTACAATTGAAGAGTTTAAGGAAAAGCTGGCAGACAGACTTGTAGAGGAAAATAGTGGCAAAAAGCAGGAAAATGAAGCGACAGTGAGTCACACTCCAGAATGAAGGAATTTGCACCACCCTGCCCTCCCTTTACAACATGTGACCACCCCCACTCCTAAACTTCCCTATTTTCTTCTCTCTATCATGCAGAAAAATGCTTTATTTCTCATTTTAATCAATGCAATGCTTTATACTAGCATTACTTAACTAATATGGTTATATTTACTATCTTTGTATTAGTTCAGAAAATCTGTCAGCAATTTTAAATGCAATCCAAAAGGGTGGAAACACATTTTTAGTTGAGTTGCACCCATTTCCAGATGGACTCAGCTTGACAGGCTGAAACGGGTCTAAATAAATGTACCCTTTTGTGTTTTTCGTTTTTAGGTTTCCACCCAATCTATCTCTACTTTATATTCACTTATTACTTGCAAGTCAGATTTACTCAGGAAAGCAAGAATAAAAAAGAATAATGGAAAGCAACAGATGAATCCTTCAGTAAGAGGAAACTGGAATCGGATTTCTCTTTTTTCCATACTCCTTTCAAACTAGAATTGTTTGAATGCTGGCATGTGTTTTTGCTTTATACACACACGATACTGTTCAAACGTTTAGGTAGTGGGGTCAGTAAACTCCTTTTGTTCTTGAGAAATGTATACTTTATTGAGCAGAGATGCATCAAATTGTAACAAAATGATAATTCATGTAAGTAAAATAAATGCTTTTCTTTTGAACTTTTCATCAAAGAATGCTAAAATGTATCATCGTTTTCATGATCTTTAACCAGCACAACTGTTTTAAAGGTTTTAAAAATATCAAAATATGTTTGCAGATATTTAAGAAACATGCTAAGTAAACATTCTGGTTTATTTGAAAAACAATG